ACGGAGAGCTCTGCGCCCTAACAAGTCAATTCTTTGGTTGGCGTCACGGGTTCAGTTTTCTATAGAGCTCTGTGAGTAGTAGGCGATATACAGCCAGTACGGTGTCACAAATAAAGACTTCGTCACGCAACTCTGCGCAACACGGAGAGCTCTGCGCCCTAACAAGTCAATTCGTTGGTTGGCGTCACGGGTTCAGTTTTCTATAGAGCTCTGTGATATCAAGTTAATTCAATGTGAGTAGTAGGCGATAGTAGTAGGAATTACAGACTTAAAAGAGTGGACTGGTGTAACAGCCAACCAGATGGCCAGACTGGCGGAGGACCGCCAGCAGTGGAAGAACTTGGCCAAACATCATGCTGCCCCGACGGCTGACTAAGCTATGGGAGAGAGAGAGAGAGAGAGTAGGCGATATACAGCCATTACTGTGTCACAAATAAAGACTTCGTCACGCACCTCTGCGCACGACAACACGGATATTCGTATATAAAAAGTGATGTACCCATACATTTATAGTGGTATAGCCCATCTATAACCGCTGCCATCGGTGGCATGGCGGAGTGGTGTTTTTTTGTTGTTTTTTTTCTCGTAAACATCAAACCGGGCTATAGAACTCAGCTATTTAAGTTGATGAATTCCAAAATCCTCTGAGTAGTTGGTTTTGGTTTAAGGTCTGTTTTCTACAACCAAACATTTTCTTTCCACACCTCTCTGGCAAGATTTACAACCGCAAATCAGGCCCATTTTAATATATAAGTTTAGGGCAATACAGAAAGTACGTTGTTACAGTCATTTCTAAGTTACATAGTAAGTTGACCTATAACTCTTTAGAAAACAAGAACACTATTCCGAGAGACAACATCGTTTCTCCATACAAAACAAACATGCTTTTTCCACAGAATTTTGTAGTGTGATCGGTCAAGCAGTGTGCCACCCATTGTCCTGTATTTTACGACCAACATCCGTCCTAATCGAGACGGCACCCGCGCACGAAACAAGTCATGCACAGTTGTGAACTAGGTGTGAACGTGCCATAATCCAAAAGACAAAAGAGTGCAAAAACTTCAATGAGCGATTCATCATGACCAAGATTTCAAAAGAGGAAAGTGTCATCCTGATCGCATGCTGTGTCGTCTAGACGCCCAGACAGTTCTGCATATCAGCCTGTATATAGAGGGCCAAATGACTAGTGGTTAGGCGAATTTACCTGTTTTGAGCGCCGCGGTGCGCAAAGAGGTGAAAGCAAAACTGAACCATGACGCCAACCAAAGAATTGACTTGTTAGGGCGCAGAGCTCTCCGTGTTGCGCAGAGTTGCGTGACGAAGTCTTTATTTGTGACACAGTACTGGCTGTGTATCGCCTACTACTCACATTGAATTGACTTGATATCTACAGAGCTCTATAGAAAACTGAACCCGTGACGCCAACCAACGAATTGGCTTGTTTTGGCGCAGAGCTCTGCGGGGGTATCGCGGAGGGCTGTACGAGCAACCTCCATTGAGGAGCTCTGCAGAGCTGAGGGCTGAACGAGCAACCTCCATGGAGGAGCTCTGCAGAGCTCCTCCATGGAGCTAGCTCGTGCAGCCCCTATTGATAAATTCTATCAGGGAGTTGCAGTAGTATTCTAACTACAATGTAATGATATGTTTGTTTATTCATTTCACCAGGGGAAAACATATCAAATACTGGTGTTTATTTGATTTTTTTTATTTATCAATCTCAAGACGGCTGTATAACCCAATTTAGCCTACACTGGCTGTTTCTTAAGGGAGCCCAGCTTGTTACAGGACAATGTTACATACTGTAATACAAAGGAAAACATACAGTAAACATAAAAACATATATGTCCGATGCGTCGAAAACAAAATCATGATCTAATTCTTAACGTCCTAGCCGATCCATGGTCAAAACACAAAAGTTCGGAATTGGAGGTCAGAGGTCAGGTTTCATACGACATACGTTTCAGGGCTGCTTTAAACTGTGAGAGAGTTGGTACATGTCTTAAGTCAGCTGAAAGTGTGTTGTGTCTTCTGTGGGTAAAACTTAAACATAAAACATTAACATTAAATACGATTCGTCGATGAAGGTTAGACATCCAGGTGATACGATACGCCAAAAAGTAGTTACTCAAGCAACTGGATATGATTTTGAAAACGTCAGACGTTTCAGCTAGTATCCACTAGCTTTCGTCAGTGACTGAGAGACCAGAGGGCAAATGCAGGTTTATAAGCACAACCTATTGGTTGATATGCAAATAAAGTGAAGACAAATTTTTGGAAGTTGAAAAAGGAACAAAAGTCAGACAAGTCAAGACAAAATAATGCAAATTAGTTTGAGTCAAAATTGGTGTTAAAGAGGCAATCTATGAAAGAATGTACAACCCCACCCTCAACAGGGAAGGGGGGCTACGGGTCGATCTTTCCGGCACTTGGATTTGGCACTCCCAGCCCCGAGGACAGACAACACTTAAGCTCCTGTTCTGTATAACAGGAGCTTTCAGACTAATTTGCATCACCTTGTCTTGACTTGTCTGAATTTTGTTCCTTTTTCAACTTCCAAAAAAATTGTCTTCACTTTATTTGCATATCAATCGATAGGTTATGCTTATAAACCTGCATTTCCCCTCTGGTCTCTCAGTCACTGACGAAAGGTAGTGGATACTAGCTGAAACGTCTGACGTTTTCAAAATCATATCCAGTTGCTTGAGTAACTACTTTTTGGCGTATTAAATACGATTGTAAAGAACAAGAAATAACTAAATGGTCATAAACAGGCGAAAGGGTTCGCAATTATAGTATTTTCGTCATAATATATCTCAACAGTTACCATTCAAAGCTCGACCAGACCTAGAAATTCCCGGCCTTGAAGCCGTATAGGCAGAAATCATGCCACCTTCTCGTTAAAACATCTTAGTCTGTAGCATGTATCGACCCCAGCCGACAAACTCAACTTCTTCGATAAATTTGATGATTAGTAGTAATGGTTTATTGATAAAAACACGATACAAATCGGCCTTGCAGTATACGCTAAATTGCGCCGAATTTTACATTCCACATACTCAGTAAAACTAACACCTTAGGCTAATATAGTACATATACAAGTATATACAAGTAACATTCAATAATTGACGACATGATTTTCCATAATAGATTAACACTGTCAACGAAGAGCATAAGGAGACCATTATAATGGGTAACCTAAATTGTGACTGTCTTAGAACAGACAATGCCCGTCCAATTGGTAAGCTGAGATTTTCATGTATGCTGCACCAACTTGTAAACATCATCACTACATCGACACGAATCACTAACACATCCAGCTCTTCTATAGATGTAATCTTAACGAATGAGCAATCCAACCTTCATAACCAAGGAACATATGGAGGGGGATTCAGTTATCATGCAATGACATTTGCTTACCACAGGGCTAAAGGTCCTAAGACACAAACTAGTGTAATTAATAGAAGAAACTACAGGGAATTTAGTGAGGACAAATTCCTTCATGATCTGACCCAGAAGCCATGGCACATACTAGACAACTTCTCAACTTGGTCAATAGACCTCATTCCAGACACAGTCGCCATATTGATTCTATTCTCGCGAGAGCACATCCTTGGCGTGAGCGCGCGTGACCTCGCACGAAAACGAGACCGCCGTGTGGTCGCGGATTCCCTGTAGTACGTTCTAACACAGTCGATAGCGGTGCTCCAACTTCAACGGTGAGTTTTGCCCGTCCAGTGTAAAATATTGTCGGAAGTACGGCTTTCACGGGTAGAGAATGTTGTTGTGGGCATGTGGGATCGATTTTGGCGGGTAGAAATGCATGTTTCTTCCGATTTTGAACAGTTTGGACGGGCGGCATTGTAGCGTATGTGATGCACTTTGTTTACATTCTACGTACGCAGCTAACTTCGAAAAATATCGAGTTTAGCCGGATATATTGCCACAAAAACCTAAAAATGTTGGCCCTGGAGTCTTGTGGGTGGAAATTTATGGAGTGTTCGGCGATTTCTCCGTAGATTTATCGATTATAGCGTCTAATGTCCGGCCGTACGTAGAGTGAAACTTTCGTAACTTGGGGAGGGGGGCGGTTGTTATTCTAACGTCCCCCGTTTATTATTATTATTTGTCGATGGAACTTTACTAGAATAGAACGGTAGAAAAACATGACTTACCTTTGTGAGATCCTGTTGGGTAGAAATACGTCTCTTGAACGAAATTTTGGCGGTCGCCCTGAAGATTCATCGATTACAACGTCAAAGCGCCCAGCCAGGTTTTTAGTCACTCACGCAGTGTGGGAGAGGCGGGGCATGTGTTTTTCTAAACGTCCTACGTTTTGGGAGACGGGGATTTTCCAATGTTTACAATATTATAAGAACATCATAAACAGTGTCTGGATGAGATCCTGGCTTCGGGTGGTTCATGTTCTCATTTCTTTATTATATGTCTTTGTCTAAAATTTTAACATTTTTTAAAACTCTTTTCAGACAAACACTACCTGCCTGAAGAGGGAAAAGAAATTCAAGTCTGCAAAGCACAACACAGGACCATAGAAACAGTGCCGCTAGGGCACCTACCTATCACATGGTCTTTGCCCCACTCATGTTGTCAAAGATGTATTATTTGGTTGTTGCCAAAAGGTTTTAGTATGATCCTATTGTTGATTGATTTTATCAGGCACAAATACTGTTGTAGTGTAAATACAATGTAGTGTTTATTGAGTACAAAAGGAAAGAGCTACTACTAGTTCATGTACTAGGAAACAGATGTGTGTTAACAGTATGTACATGTATCAGAAACTGAAAGCAGTTCAGTAACACTATTTAATTCATTCCTAATAAACCATGTATAGTTTAAGTTAGTTTTCCAACATTTGCTTCTCATTGAAACATGTAGCCATGATTCATTTTTTCACTAGATCATGTATGAGTAGATTACATACATGAGAGTACCCAAAATTCCAAAATACATGTAAGTTAGGAACACTTCCTTGAAGTTGCTTCTCATCATTTTTTTTTATTTGTGAAAAAACATGTACATGTTCTTGTAACCTTCAGACACATGTAAATACAATGCCACTTCAATAAACATGACAGTTTCAGTAGTTCTGTACAAGTGGTGGTTAAAAGTTTGTCAGGTAAGCATGGTGAAGATGTGGTCTGTGATGGCAGTGCAGTCGGTGATGGGGATGTTGCCAGGTCAGGTTGAAGTATAGCCATGTTGGTGTCGAGACCAGGATCCGAACAACAAGCGGAGGAGTCCTCAGGTTCATCAATCTGTAAAGTCAGTCAAAAATGCAATGACAATGTTTGAGTGCAACAATATGAAGTGTTCTTTACAAGAAGTAAAATACCATGTGAAGCAATCCAAGTATGTTTTTATTAGCATCCGAAAAGAAAATTATGCGGACATTACTGATACAAAACTTTATGGAATAAAATCCAAACTACGTACATTGTAGTTGACATGCAACATTTACTTTGTTAAGTCCACAAGCTCCTTTCTTTTTCTTGGTGGGAGAACATCTCTTCTTTGGAGCTGGTCTCTCTGGTTTCTGCTTCACCCAGGAGTGAAGGACGGGTGCTGCACCTGGAATCATACAATATGGAAATTTTCATTAACAGTTATATTTTTTTAGCAATGCCAGATTAATAAGAAGAATATTATTTGTGAGTAAAGTTTAAGGTTTTAGACAAAGACATAGATATAAATAAAGAAATGAGAAAATGAACCACCCGAAGCCAGGATCTCATCCAGACACTGTTTATGATGTTCTTATAATATTGTAAACATTGGAAAATCCCCGTCTCCAAAAACGTAGGACGTTTAGAAAAACACATGCCCCGCCTCTCCCACACTGCGTGAGTGACTAAAAACCTGGCTGGGCGCTTTGACGTTGTAATCGATGAATCTTCAGGGCGACCGCCAAAATTTCGTTCAAGAGACGTATTTCTACCCAACAAAATCTCACAAAGGTAAGTTATGTTTTTCTACCGTTCTATTCTAGTAAAGTCCCATCGACAAATAATAATACGTTAGAATAACAACCGCCCCCCTCCCCAAGTTACGAAAGTTTCACTCTACGTACGGCCGGACATTAGACGCTATAATCGATAAATCTACGGAGAAATCGCCGAACACTCCATAAATTTCCACCCACAAGACTCCAGGGCCAACATTTTTAGGTTTTTGTGGCTATATACCCGGCTAAGCTCGATATTTTTCTCCATATTATATGAGTTTGCTGCGTACGTAGCATGTAAACAAAGTGCATCACATACGCTACAATGCCGCCCGTCCAAACTGTTCAAAATCGGAAGAAACATGCATTTCTACC